ATATCTGTACAATTGTTCCAAGCAAAGTATTGTTACAAAAGAGTCAAAAAGTTTTAAAAATTTTAGACAGTTATAAAGTAAAAAAATTTATAGTAAGCTAAGGGTTATTTATTACTGAAGAAATAAAATTCGGGGGGGAGAATTTGGTGTAGCCCAAGTGTGTAGTGTTTCTAAAGTCTACAGTAGTGTACAGTAATGCCCTTGGCCTTCACATTCACTCACCACTCACTCATGAACTCACCCAGAGCAATTTCCAGTCTTGCAAGCTCCATCTGGGGTAAGTGCCCTAAACAGGTGGACCATTTTTTAATGTTTTTCCTCTTAAATAATAGCTATAATTTATTGAGTATCTATAAAAAGATCTACACCAGATTTCTGCATAGACCTTTTCTATGTTGAGATATGTTTAGATACGTAAATATTTACCATTGTGTTACAGTTACCTATAATATCCAGTTCAGTAACATGCTGTACAGGTTTGTGGTCTAAGAGCAATAGGTTACAGCATATTTAGGTGTGTAGTAGGCTCTACCATCCAGGATTTTGTAAGTACACTCTATGATGCTCACACAATGATGAAACTGCTGAATGACACATTTCTCAGAACACAGCCCTGTCATTAAGCAACACATGATTGTATATATAATTATTTTGTAAACATCTCAATTTTGAGTTCTATTAAGTAAATGTCAATAACCCACATAAATCAAAAGCTCCTTGGGGTCTTCAGTAATTTTTTGAGAGTGAAAAAGCATCTTGAGACCTTCTTCTCAAGCCTCCAGGTCCACTTCTTAACATATTTTTTAAGTATTATTTATAGACCTTTCCACAAAGCCACAGCCTCATTAAAGAGCTCAAAAGAATGGACACTGATCTAAATGCTGTTTCAGGCAGTGTTAGGGCTCTCCCTCCTTCAGCTATAAGCCAGTGGTTCACACTTAAAGGCAGCGTGCTCAGATCTTGAGGATAATGTGACTTCAAGAAGGGATTTTTAAAAACATCAGTCTAATATCTACAAAATATTGCCTGAGATATTTTCCTATGTGAGAAGTTTAGGGAGATAAAAAGTGTGAGATTCTGGTAGTGCTCCCTCAGGGGTCCAAGCAGCAAGGAGTGATTGAGAGCTTGAGGGCAGCGATTCTAGTCCATGTCACTGTCCCACATCTTTGAGGGCATCAGGTGGCCCAGCTGTAGATAGCACATCAGTCTCCCTAGGGCTGCTGGAATGGGGAGCTGGAGAGGACCCTGGATGAAGAAGCTCAAATAGCAGAAGATGAGCAAAATTTCTCCAGGCACATGGAGCTCCCAGAAGAAATGTAAAAGCATGGGACTGACTTCCTGGGCCAAACAGGTAGGATGCAGGCACTATCGGAAGTCAACTATTAATCTTGATGAAATAACACTTCTACCTGTGGACTGGTGGAACCTGGGACATAATAATAGGACATTGACAATTGTGAAATTTTCAAAACATGTTATTTTCCTAAGAATATCTTTTAGAAGTTATCCCTTAAGTAGTCCAGTGCATTTTAGCTCAAGCTACTGTTTTTAAGTTCGGCAAGTTTAATTTTGTAGACCTTTAGGTCTACAAATGTGGATTTTAAAAATATACAACCTTATCATGGTTTACAGACCTATGATCAATATCGGTGAACCATAGTTTTTATAGAAATATAACACAAATCATTCATGCTTGCAATCCCAGTGTTTTGGGAGACTGCAGTGGGAGGATTTCTTGAGGCCAGGGATTTGAGGCCAGACTAGGCAACATAGCAAGACTTCGTCTCTACAAAAAATTGCAAAAATTTGCCTGGTGTGGTGGTGCACACCTGTAGTCCCAGCTATTCTGGAGATTGAGAAGGAAGGATTGCTTGAACCCAGGAGTTTGAGGCTATGATCACACCACTATACTCCAGTCTGGGCAACAGATTGAGAGAGAGAGAGATGCCCTGTCCCAAAAAGAAAAAAAGAAATATAATACAATTCATATATTATATTTACTGAGCCAGTCAAAAAATTTAAAAATAATGTATTCTTATTAACATAGAATGACTTTTATTCTTAAAAATATTAAAGTGAAAATTATAATCATTTAAATTAGCATTTTTGAATGCTGGCTATTATTTTAAATGCTTACATAGAGTGAATCATCATCTAATTATTGGATAAATTCTGACATCTAGACATTCTTATTATCTATAGATATTATTGTCATCCTCACTTTAGACATGAGGAAACTGGATAAAGAAATTTGTCCAAGGCCACACAGTTAGGGACTGTTAATAAAATAGGCTTTCTAATTGCTTTCTCCTCAAATCTACCTCCCCAGTAAAAAAGTCAGATACCCCAATGGTATACATTTCCATCAAGCCTGAGTATATGTGTAATATAAAAGCTCCACTCAGAACCCACTCCCTTGTTCACAGACACCCATCTCAAATGGTCCTGAGAAAAGCAATCTGGTTCAATTTGCTAAGGGGGCAAAAATTCCCAATAAGGTTTAGTGATTGCCACAGTTGGAATGTTCTGAAATCAAGGCCATGTTCCTGTCATGGCAAATTAGGTCAGCATGGGAGACGTGGAACCATGCACAGGATGACGGAATGTAAAAGTATGTTATTAGCTGATGTCCTCTCTGTTTTATTTTTCCCTGGTGACATTTAGCAAATTGAATGTAAATGCTTGGAAACACACAATGCTCTATTCGATGGTTTAAAAGGTTCGGGTGGGAGGAATATCACACAAACTAGCAGGCAATATAATAATTGTACGTTAACAATTATGAAATTTTCAAAAATGTTATTTTTCTAAGAATATCTTTTAGAAGTTATCCATTAAGTAATCCAGTACTTTTTAGCTCAAGCTACTGTTTTTAAGTTTGGCGGGACTAATTTTGTAGACCTCTGGGTCTTCAAACATGGATTTTTAAAATATCAACCTTATCATTATATGTGGTGATATTATACAAAAGATATTAAGAGTATGAACGTTTAAAATCTCCCTTAAGCCATATTGAACATCAGAAAATGGTCAAATTTTTCTCCTTTTCCTTCTTTCCATGGGTCTCAAACACTTAATTTCTTCAACAGACATCAGGTCAAAGCAAAGAAATTTTAGTCATCACGTACTGTTTTAAATCTTATATATTTCAGACACTAAGTAAGACAGAGAAGCAGTATTGTTTAGTGGCTACAGAGAGGCAGTATAGTTTGTTTATTTGTTCATTTATTTATTTTAGAAAGCAGGATTTATCGAGAGGACAGAAAAACTCCCACATTGGGAGGGGACCTGAGGGGGTTGCCCAGCAGTATAGTTTACCCTGCACATGTGGGCTCTGGAACCAGATTCTTTGGTTAGAATCCTAAATCTCCTTCTTTCCATCTGTGTTACCCTAGGCAAGTAACTTAACTTCTCTGTGCCCTTATTGCCCCTGTGGTATAAAATAAGCTTAATAATACCTACCTCATAGTAATTGTTATGAGGAGTAAATGAGTTAACATAGGAAAAGTACTTAGAAAACTTCATGATACATAGAAGGCACTCCGTATCAGTGAGCTATTAGAATCATCTTAGAGATGCTTGACTTTCACTGGTTCTAATTTAAATGTATTGCAGATAAAACCCAAATGAAGCATAGCTTTCTTCGCCAGTGCTAAAACAAAAACTCAGAGGTATATTGAAAATAATAAAAATCCAAATGTAATGGGCCTGAAAAATTCAAATTGTACTGGTGGTTTTTTCAGAAGTGTCCACAGCAAAAATTCACATGTGCTTTCTGAAATAACATTTATATTTGCCATGTATATTTTTAAAAGCTCACTGTGACTATCATATAGGCAAGAAAGACACAACATGGGAAGCAAACAAGAAGCTGTCGCAATCGTGCAAAGACGAAAGGAGGTTAGAATAGACTATAGTCATAGAAATAGAGATGTGGAAAAGCAGAAGCGTTTTCTACAAAATATCTAATAAATATAATGTGGAGCACATTCTCCACAGATACGAACAGGACAGATCCAGAAAAAAAGCAGTGCTGGTGAAGCTATGGATGGCTGGAGCCCTCACACATCACCAGTGGGATTGTGAAATGCAGCCACTTTGGAAGACAATTTGGCGGTTCCTCAAATCGTTCAACATGGTGTTCCCATATGACTCCACAATTCTGCTCTAAGATGTATTCCCAAAAAACCTGAAAACATTTGTCTACATAAAAACTTGTACACACATGTTCATAACATCATCATTTCCACTGGTCAAAAAGTGAGAAGAGGTGCAACCTGAAAACATTTGTCTACACAAAAACTTGTACACACATGTTCATAACATCATTTCCACTGGTCAAAAAGTGAGAAGAGGTGCAACCCCTTTGGGTCCTCTTCCACTGTGGGTGCTTCTCTATTCTTTCAATAAATCCTGCTTTCTCACTTTCCGGCTATCTGTGTAGCTAGTTAAGAAGCAAGAAGGAAAGATATTTCAATAAAAGGTCATCTGACAACTGAAAAAAAAAAAGTGAGAACAACCCAAATGTCCATCAACTGAGGAATGGATAAACAAAATGCAGTAGATTCATGAAGTAGAATTCAGCCAAAGAAAAGAATGAAATAATGACAAATACCACAGCAGGAGTGAACATTGACAACATTGCGCTAAATGAAATAAACCAATCAGATACAGCAGGCTACATATTTGATGATTCCATTTATATGAAATATCCAAAGCAAGTAAATCCACAGAGACAGAGAGTACATTAGTGGTTGCCAGGACCCATGATGAGGCAAGGATGAGAATAATGAGTACAGGCTCTCTTTGGGGGCTGATGAAAATGTTCTGGAATTAACTAGTGGTGATGATGGCACAACTTTATGAATACACTTCAAAATCCTGAATTGCACACTTTAAAAGGCCAAATTATACAGCATTTAATTATATCCCATTAAAGCTGTTACTAAACATTATAAGAAAATACATTTTTTTTCAGGTGTGCACTTTCATTGAACTGGTCTCAAGTCAGTGTACAGGTAAGTTCTGGCCGCCTCCACACCTCCATCCACTCCCAGGGAGACCAAAAGCCTTCATACATCTCAAGTCGGGGACACAAAGAGGGGGCCACGGTGGCTGATCATTCAAAATAAAACAAATAAAAAAGTATTAAGGCGAAGATTAAAAAAATTTGCATTACATAATTTACACAAAAGCAATACTGTTTCCTCCCCCGTGTGGACCAGAAGAGAATTGGGCTACTCTCCTTAGAGAGAAGTGGGGCGGCTTTTGGGAGGGCAAGGGACTTCCTGTAACAATGCATCTCACGACATTTGGAATGACTATTAAAAAAAAAAGAACAATGTGCAATCAAAGTCCTTGGCCACACTGTAGAACTTTGGGGATGCTCGCCCCAACTCGCTGTCACCTTCACCGTTCCAGTTTTTAAATCCTGAGAGTCATCAAGCCAAAAACAAAAAACAAACAACAACAACAAAAAAAAAACAAATAAAGCTATGCCGATCTCATCTTGTTTTCTGCACAAGTTAGGTTTGTCAAGAAAGGGCATCACTCGTTAGCCCGCCTAGAAGCACTAGCGGTGCCCGATGGAGAGGCCGGACTCGTGGTACTCCTGCCTGCTGATCCACATCTGCTGGAAGGTGGACAGCGAGGCCGGGACGGAGCCGCCAATCCACATGGAGTACTTGCGCTCAGGGGGTGCCATGATCTTGATCTTCATCGTGCTGGGCGCCAGGGCAGTGACCTCCTTCTGCACCCTGTCAGCGATGCCTGGGTACATGGTGGTACCTCCGGACAGCACCGTGTTGGCGTACAGGTCCTTGCGGATGTCCACATCACACTTCATGATGGAGTTGAAGGTGGTTTCGTGGAAGCCACAGGATTCCAGGCCCAGGAAGGAAGGCTGGAAGAGAGCCTCCGGGCCGCGGAACCGCTCGTTGCCGATGGAGATCACCTGGCCGTCGGGCAGCTGGTAGCTCTTCTCCAGGGAGGAGGAGGACGCAGCAGTGGCCAGCTCCTCCTCGAAGTCCAGGGCGACGTAGCACAGCTTCTCCTTGATGTCACGCCCAGTTTCCCGCTCTGCCGTGGGGGTGAAGCTGTAGCCACGCTCCGTGAGAATCTTCCTGGGGTCGTCTGTCAGGTCCCGGCCAGCCAGGTCCAGACGCAGGAGGGCGTGGGGGAGGGCGTACCCCTCGCAGATGGGCACAGTGCGGGTGACCCTGTCCCCAGAGTCCATCGCGATGCCAGTGGTGCGGCCAGAGGCGTACAGGGACAGCACAGCCTGGATGGCCACATACATGGTTGGGGTATTGAAGGTCTCGAGCATGATCTGGGTCATCTTTTCCCGGTTGGCCTTGGGGTTCAGGGAGCCTCGGTCAGCAGCACGGGGTGCTCCTCGGGGGCGACGCGCAGCTCGTTGTAGGTGTGGTGCCAGATCTTCTCCATGTGGTCCCAGGTGGTGACGATGCCGTGCTCGATGGGGTACTTCAGGGTCAGGATGCCTCTCTTGCTCTGGGCCTCGTCGCCCACGTGGGAGTCCTTCTGACCCATGCCCACCGTCACGCCCTGATGCCGCGGGCGTCCCCCGATGGAAGGGAAGACGGCCCGGGGGGCGTCGTCGCCCGCGAAGCCGTCCTTGCGCTCGCCGGAGCCGTGGTCAGCGACGAGCGCGGCGACAGCATCGTCCACGGTGAGCTGGAGTGGTGTGGACCGGCGGCGGAGCGGATACGGTCTCGAAGGTCGAAAATACATTTAAATAAAAGGATATCCAAGGCACTCTTTCTTTACCTCTTTAATTCAGAAAATAGATGGCATTTAGAAATATACCCTTGTAAAATTTCACTTGGGAGGGGATAAAAATTTTAAACTTCTGATAAACTAGCAATACTATTTATCTTCTGGTAGATGTACCCTGTGGATCACAGTTGTTATTTTAATTTTTTTATTTATTTTATTTTATTTTATTTTATTTTATTTTATTTTATTTTATTTTATTTTATTTTATTGAGCTGGAGTCTCACTCTGTCGCCCAGACTGGAGTGCAGTGGCCGCTCCCGGTCACCGCAGCCTCGACCTGCCGGGCTCCGGCGATCCTTCCCCTCAGCCTTCCGAGTAGCCGGAATTACAGGCACGCACTACCACGCCCGGCTGATTTTTGATTTATTGTAGAGATGAGGTCTCGCCAAGTTGCCCAGGTGGGTCTCGAACCCACAGGCTCAGGCAATCCACTCACCTCAGCCTCCCAAAGGCGCGGGATTACAGGCTGAGCCACCGAGCCCGGCTCACAGTTATTATTTAATGATGTTTAACATTCAATCAATTCTCAGATCAGCCACAAGAAGAAGGAGTAAGTAAAGCTAACCAGCATCACTAAAAATTGAGTAATTTTTTTTTTCAAGGTACTCAAAGAAGAGGGGGACTAATTAGGACTAAAAATGAAAGATATTCTTACATAATTAGAATGATTACTAGGAAACTAATTGGCACAATGTATGGTGGAGTGAAAGAAGACAAGTTATACTTTTAAAAAACCAGTTGGGTGTTAAATGATTTACTCTTAACGTCCTCCATGTTGTCCCTTTTAGGGTCACTGAAGCTTGTATGTCCTTGAGATTTATACAAGAGAAAGATGCATCCAAATATCTGGAAGTTGAAGAATAAAAAGAAAAGATTTTTAGCTTTACAAATTACAACATTATTTTAAGACATAAAAGTATAATACGTGCTGTAGGTATTTTACTAGGTATTTTGCCTAATTCACTTACCTTAGTTTACTAACTCTGGATATATTGCTATGGAAGGAGATAGGAATATTCTTGCCCTTTTTCACTCAGACGGTAAAGGTCGTAAACAGCCACGAACACCAAAGCTCTTGAAATTCTCTATATGGATCAGAAGATGAAGAATCATACAGGAGTCAGAAAACTAACTTTCTCATTTGTATGTCTATGTGTTTGTCTCTTTCTCATTCAGCTGTGCACCAAAGAACTTATATCTAAACCACCTATGTATGCAATCCTGACTTGTACAATTTTAAAATATTAAATTAAATTTTAAAAAAAGAATTCTCCATATCGGCTTTGAACATGATTAGAATGTTTTCTCCCAAATTGTGAAGCAGAAGACAGGCAAATAACAGAGTTTTAAAAGTATACTCTTTGGGTTTTTTTCTAAGGAGTATAAAGATTTCTCAGTTAAATGTACTGGGTTATCAAGGTGGTAATTTCATACTTGCTCTGAAACATTGAAAATATTGAAAAATTTAAAATATAGGTATTTGGCGGAAAGAATGAGCTGGAATCAATCCTAAATACTTTTTGGCAGAAAGAATAGGAACTTGCTTCAAATCTTGTAATGATGCCAAATGCTCTTTCCTTCATTGACTTTTCACTAAAAACGTTCACCTTCCAAGTGTAAAAAATAATAATAATTAATTAAAGGTAGTGCAGCAAATGTTGTATATTTTTTTCTAAAACTGTAACAATGATTTTTATGCCAAATTGTCTCAGCCTTTTTTATGCAATTAAAACATAGTTATATTTTCTCTCATCAGTTAAGTGCAGATATACTAAGCTAATCATCCCCCTTAGGCTTAACTAGATTTTTTTTTTAGGTGGTTTGGGGTTTTTTTTTTTTTTTTCTTAAGTGAAGAATGCTTTCCTTTCTCTCTTTTTTTTTTTTTTCTTTTTCAGATGCACCTGTTATGTTTTTAATACCACATGTCAGGCTCAGTTCTATGTCTCATCTGCTTGAAGCATTTTTAATATCTGCTATCATATTTGGTCTCTTAATAAAAAAAATTCTAAGGGGTCAAGGGCTCTGAAGATCACATGTTTGTGACTTCAAAAACAGGAAATAGGACATCGGTGATCCTGACAGGTAAATTCTCCAAATGCAGCTGCCTGGGAAGTGGAAGTGGATGGTCTTTGTATTTAGGAAAACCTGGAGCCAAATGCTAACTACCATTCCCTACTCCCAGCCCCATCTCACCAGTGTATTTTTCCTAGTTGTAAAGATATTTAAAATCTACGTATTCTTTGTTGGTTTGGTATCTCTACTTCCTTTCTATATGATGGCACCTTCATCTTGCATGACATTCTATGCCAGTGTATGTTTTCTATTATGACTTAAGCTTTACTCGAAACTATGTCATCCTATCAATGACATAATTCTATATAAATTAGAAAGATCAATTATGCAAAGAAATCTCTATAGGTGAAGCTGTCTGACAAGCTCTAATTTTAAAGAGACATATTCAACAAAGAAGAAAAGCCTAAACAGATGGATGGCAAAGGCTAACAAAAGGGCTTGCAAATTTCGTGTGTTTTGGAAGATCTAGGAAGAGTTAGTGCATCAATGCATTTGCCCATTTCATGATGGGTCATTTACATAAACAACCTGCCTACACGATGCTTGAGACACTTGGTAACTTGAACCTTTCAGTTTTGCATAGAACATCTTGTGAGTAGAAGGATCTCAACACTGAAAACAGTTGCTCCTGATGATAAAGTTCTGTGATTTTATTATTTCTATCCTCCCCTCGGTGCTGTCACAGTGCCTGTCACATAGTAGATTCTCACTAGAATGAATGAATTAATGACCAAAATTAACTTGTTCAGAACTATATGGCTTTTAAAAGATATAATTTGAGGAAATGTTAAACCAATTACATTAAGATCTAAAATGCAACTAAAGTTTAGGAAACTAAAGAGTTCTTTAAATGAATATCTTAAAGAAATGACACATTCAAAGTGGAAAGGAAAGTCTAGATGATATGATATATATGATTTTAATATCAATGATTCAAAGAGATCATACAAGGAGGACTACCCCCCAAAAAAACCAGGAACATATTTATTTAAAAATTGTGTATTTATTCTTTCATGTTTAAACTTCAATCACCTTCAAAGTACTTTCCGTTTGATGCAAGACACTTTTTCCACGACTCAAAACAGTTTTCAAACTTGTCGAATTTGGTGCCATTTTGTGCTTCTGCCGTTTTTTGTTTCACCTCTTTCACATAAGGAAAACATTTCCCTTTGACGACTTTCTTCATCCAAAGAAACAATAAAAGGTTGCTTGGGGTGAGATTGGGTTAATAGGGAGGGTAGAGCATGGGGGTCACACCATTCTTGGTTAAAAACTGCTAAACATTAAGCATGGTGTAGGCAGGTTGTTTATGTAAATGACCCATCATGAAATGGGCAAATGCATTGAAAGAATCTCCAAAGAAATTTTCACTGAAGCTAAATGCAGCATCTTACAACAATGCTGACTGGTCCCCTGATGCCAATGGGTTCCTAGAACACTTACCTAGTGGGAGAAGCCTGTACTACAAGGAGCCTGCCCTACACAAGATAATTCTGGGGATTTTTTGGTCCCTCTTGTATAGCCACATGTATAATTTTAAGCAAGATAGGCTCAAATGTAATCAAAATAACTCTGCCTACCTTTAATCACCCTGGAATATCTCAGTTCCCATATCAGCTTTTCCTATGGCCGTATATGTATAGTTACATTCTGCTTTATACTGTTTCCTTGATATCCATAATTGCATTGTATTCTTGATATGTAGTCCACCACGTGGACAAGCAAATCGAATGCTAAGTGTCTTTTTCTAAATAAATCTTACTTCTGCACTTACTCCAAATATATCAAAGATCCATTCCCATGGGAAAAAAGGAGAAAAATGTTCCCAGGGAGTTCAATGGAAAATGTTGATGAGGGAGAAGTTAACGAACAGCTTCTCTCTTTGGCAAATCCCGTCCTCAACCATTAGGAACTTATACAACCAGTCGTTCACTCTCCAGGTCACCAATGCTTCTTAATGCTGTTTTGCATTTATTTTGGCACCAGGCCACTTCCTTTTAACATTTGACATACTTCTTCCCTTTTTCCTAGCCCCATAAGTCACAGAACATTTTCCTGTACCTAAAAATCAATTCGGTTCTCCTTTTATTTCGTTACATAGATGGTAAGATACTAAGAATTAGTCAACAATCTCACTCTTCTCTCCACGCTGGTACCTAACAAGCTTTATTGCAACCTGAGAACTATTACTTCAGTGTTAACATAATGCAAAATAATTCCTATTTTAAAAGTCTATAAATTAACATTTTTACCTTTTGGATTCTTTTTTAGAGGGGTACTGCCAAAGAAAATATTGAGGGCCCTTCTCCTCTCATATGCCACTTACCCTACCCCACCATCTTTGTCATATCAGCTCTGCATTTGAACTTTACCCATGTCTTTAAAACTTATTAAGTATCTACTTGCTAGACATTCTTCATAATGCTGTTCCTTTTCTTCATATACACATAAATGCAATAATTTTATATTTGCCCACATAAAACAGAAATCTTTAAAACAGTATATTCAGGAGCTACTAGTATTAATAAACATTAATATGACAGTTGACACAACTGCATTTTATGAAAAGAATGAATTAAAACAGAAAATCAACAAAACTGTATCAGGATGGTACACATTCTCCTTAGTAGCAAACTCTCTCAAGAGGTTTCTGTCCTAACGCTCAGTATTTTGGGAGTCCTTACTGAGTGTGACCCATGAGTAGGAGAGAAAAAATGTCTCTGCCCCATGAAATACAAAATATAATTGAGGAAACAAAACACTTAGCAGGCTTTTAAATTATATAGCAGAACTATATTCTTGAAAGTAGAGGACTAGTTAAATGAGTGGAGGAGGAAAAAGCTGTACTC